CCACAGAAGGATTTAAACTTCTTCTGTTAGATTAGACTCAAGACACACTGACGATTCTGTTTAGAGACAGAGAGAGAGGGATAAATAGAGAGTGAGAGAGAGATGGAGGGTGAGAGAGAGGGAGGAAAGAGAGAAAGGAGCAGAGAGAAACAAAGGGGTGTTACATTACAAAGAGAAAGAGAGACAGAGAGACGCTACAACTAAAAGGAAGCAAACCCAAGAAAGAGAGAAAGAGAGAGAGAAGAGGAATATATAGAGGGAGGGAGATAGAGGGAGAGAGAGAAAGAGAGAGCGGAGGAAGGAAAGAGAAAAGGGAGAAGAGAATGGGAGAGAGGGTTGTTACATTGCAAGGAGTGAAAAAGAGAGAGACTATGAGAGAGAGGAGGGGAAGAGAGGGAAGAGGGAGATAGAGAGAGGGAGGGAGATAACAAGAGAGAGAGAGAGAGGGGGAGGATACAGAGAAAGAGAGAGGGAGGGAGAAGAGACTATAAGAGAGAGGAGGGGAAGAGAGGAAGAGGGAGAGGAGAGAGAGAGGGAGGGAGATAAAGAGAGAGAGAGAAGAGAGAGGAGAGAGAGATAAGAGAGAGGAGGGGAAGAGGGAGATAGAGAGAGAGTGAGAGAGGGAGGGAGATAACAAGAGAGAGAGAGGGAGCATACAGAGAAATAGAGAGGGAGGGAGAAGAGACTATGAGAGAGAGGAGGGGAAGAGAGGGAAGAGGGAAAGGGGGAAAGAGGGAGAGAGAGAGAGAGAGAGGGAGATAATGAGAGAGAGGGGGAGGATACAGAGAAAGAGAGAGGGAGGGAGAAGAGACTATAAGAGAGAGGAGGGGGAAAGAGGGAAGAGGGAGATAGAGAGAGGAGGGAGGGAGATAAGAGAGAGAGAGAAGAGAGAGAGAGAGAGAGACTATAAGAGAGAGGAGGGGAAGAGAGGAGAGAGAGAGAGAGAGAGAGGGAGATAACAAGAGAGAGAGAGAGAGGAGAGAGAGAGAGGGAGATACAGAGAAATAGAGAGGGAGAGGAGAAGAGACTATGAGAGAGAGGAGGGGAAGAGAGGGAAGAGGGAGAGAGGGAGAGAGAGAGGGAGGGAGATAATGAGAGAGAGGGGGAGGATACAGAGAAAGAGAGAGGGAGGGAGAAGAGACTATAAGAGAGAGGAGGGGAAGAGAGGGGGAGGGGGAGAGAGAGAGGGAGGGAGATAATAAGAGGGAGAGGGAGAAGAGACTAAGAGAGAGGAGGAGAAGAGAGGGAAGAGGGAGAGAGGGAGGGAGATAATGAGAGAGAGGGGGAGGATACAGAGAAAGAGAGAGGGAGGGAGAAGAGACTATGAGAGAGAGGAGGGGAAAGAAAAAAAGGAGGGAAAGAGAGCGAGAAGATGGAGATAGAGGGGGGGAGATAGAGAGAAAAGTGAAGGAAGTGAGGAAAAAGAGAGGGAGACTTTAAACTAAGACAGAGGAGGAAGAGAAAGGGGAGAGAGTAAACACGGATAGAGGGAGAGAGGAGTAAGGGGGGCATAGAGAGAGAGAAGATAGAGCGGAGGGAAACATCAGGAGGATAGAGAGGGCGAGATGACAGATAGAAAGACGAGAGAAAGAGAGAGAGAGAAAGAGTGATGTGATAATAAACGTGGATAATCAGTCTATTCTTTAGAGGACGCTCCACCGACAAACACAAGAACAACAGAGTCAAGAGCAGAGCACACGAGAGATTACTCAACAAAAACAGGAGACACGGTGGTTCAGCGCTCCAACAACCCAAAGACTGACTCCCACTTAGACCACGTTCTGTTGTTGTGTCCTCAGGCAAGACGTTTTAAGATTCAAGACTGTATCGTCATTGTCAGAGAAAAGAGACAGAATTACGTTTAGAAAGTCAAACACTGCACATTTCACCCACATTTGCCGCGGTTAATGCTCTAAAAACAACATGTAAACACTTAATTTTTCTGATTTTAAAGCCAAATTTCATTTATTCCTTGATCATGTTTCACGTTTATTCTTCTTAAAAAATAATGTTGGTGGTTCAGCACATGCTCGTTGTGTCGTCCTTCTGACGTGATCCGGACGATCCGGCTCCACCAGTTCTGGCTTCGGACTTTCATCCACGTCTCTTTGGATTTGTGAGCGGGATGTGGGAGTGGGCTGAGGTAGAGCAGCTGTTGACTCAGTTTGTCTTCTTCCTCCTTCTCCAACACTCTTCCCTTCTCCTCCTCAGCTGACAGACGTAAAGTGTGATGAGAGAATTCTCCAGCTGCTGCACAATTATCATCAGAACCACTGAGGGAAAAGTTTGGATCATGTTTGTGTCCGTGGAGGAACAACAAACTGAGATGACAGAAAAGCCAGTAGCAGTGTGTGTGTGTGTGTGTTTTCTTCCGGTTGACGTAAATAAGTTGGTGTCTCTGTCCAGTCAGAACCTTCCCCACCTCCAGACGCTGACCAGAATTAAATAAAGACGATTTAACGTGTTTTCCATGTAAACCTCAATTCGGAATTATTAATTCCATGTAAACTCCAAGGAGAATATTTTAATTCAGGACTATTTAATTCAGAACAATTAATTCAGCATTAAAAGACATCATGTAAACGTGACCACTGTCTAGTATGAATGTGGTGTGGGAGTGTTGGCACAGACTGGCAGGCTTGCTTCTGTCAGTCTGTCCCAGGGCAGTTGTGGCTACAATAGTGTCTTACCACCACCAAGTACGGAGTGAATGAAGAATGAAACGTAAAGCACTTTGGGCCGTGCTCGAAAGTCTCCTAAGATACAATATTACAAGCCTGATTCATCAGACGGATTCACTTGGTGGAATCTGTCTGAACTTGCAGCATTAGAATTCGTTCACTCGACAGTAGGCGAGTACTTTTTTATTTAACCAACTGCTGCTGTTTGGTCATGATGTATGTAATGCACCAAATCCCGTAGGAAGAAGGACAATAACGTCTTTCCCCTTGATAAAATTCACCAAACCTTCTCTTTATCTCTTGATCTCAGAAATCGTTGCAACACAGAATGTCTGTCTTTGTCTCCATCCATCTCGACGCTTTGTTTACTGTTGTGCTGTTCCACAAAAGGGACTCAGACAGAAACCACGAGTTTGATGTCATGGCTTCACAGCTCACAGCTGATTGGCCGGTGCACAGTCTACAACTTCCGGGGTTCTTGAAAACTGTCTAGTGCAGATATATCAAACTCAGGCCCAGGGGCCAAATTTGGCTTACGATATAATAATATTTGGCCTATGAGATCATATCAAACATGTATGACCCGCCGGCTACAGATAGACATAGACACATTCATATTTAAAATGATATTATTATTTTATATTTTGCTTGTTCTGGAGTCAGTGTTTAAACAAAAATATTATTAAACATTTATTTTAATAAGTAAAGGTTTAACATTACATATCTCGAAAGAAGAGCAAGCATGCAGATGTTGTTGACATTTTTCAATAAATATTTAGTTTGGCCCATGACTTAGTCCCAGTGTTTAATTTTGGCCTCTGTGAATTTGAGTTTGACTCTTCTGGGCTAGTGTGTAGTGTGTTCTGATTCCTGACCTATCGCTGGAGAGAAATGAAGCCACCCTAACTATAATATTACAGCCTGGCGCACTATTCTGTCTGTGCGTCTTAAAAAGAGACTCCTGTGCCTCGTCCACACAGCGTTTAAAGGTCCTATATTACACAACATTTACTCATGGGAGCTTTTTTTTTTTTTTTTTTTTTTTGCCATTCTAACGCTGTTAGTTCATGAGAAACAGACCTGGAGTTGTTTTGTTTCATTCACCCATGTTCGACTAATCCTTTATTTTGAGTCTGTTTGCTTCTCCAAAGCTCAAAATGCTCTGTTCCACCTTGTGTGTTTTTGTTGAAGAAACAACATTATAACATGGATCAGAAAATAATGTACTACAGGCCCCGATGGGTCAACAGGAAGTCACTCTACATCAGGGCAATTAGACTCTGACAGCCCCTCTGCGCTCGCTGTAGCCCCTCCGCTCTGCGCTCGCTGTAGCCCCTCCGCTCTGCGCTCGCTGTAGCCCTCCCCTCTGCGCTCGCTGTAGCCCTCCGCTCGCTGTAGCCCCTCCGCTCTGCGCTCGCTGTAGCCCCTCCGCTCTGCGCTCGCTGTAGCCCCTCCGCTCTGCGCTCGCTGTAGCCCCTCCGCTCTGCGCTCGCTGTAGCCCCTCCGCTCTGCGCTCGCTGTAGCCCCTCCGCTCTGCGCTCGCTGTAGCAGTTATTAACTTCAGGTTCAGGGCCCCACGCTGTCACATGAACACACTTAAGAACTCCTTTGTGCCAGTGTTTATTAGGCTACTGAAAACCAATTGCTGGGATTCAGATGACATCACAGCATTCTAAGCCAATATTATTTGATACACATGGAGGGCTGCTAAAGTAAATAGAGTGTAAAAACACATTAAATCGTCTTTATTTAATTCCGCTCAGCGTTTGGAGGTGGGAAGGTTTAGTCCTGGTTTAGACCTGGTTTAGTCTGGTTTAGACCTGGTTTAGTCCTGGTTTAGACCTGGTTTAGACCTGGTTTAGTCCTGGTTTTAGTCCTGGTTTAGACCTGGTTTCAGTCCCTGGTTTAGTCCTGGTTTAGACCTGGTTTAGACCTGGTTTAGACCTGGTTTGATCTAGTTTATACCTGGTTTTAGTCCTGGTTTAGTCCTAGTTTAGACCTGGTTTTAGATCTAGTTTAGACCTGGTTTTAGTCCTGGTGTAGTCCTGGTTTAGATCTAGTCTAGACCTGGTTTTAGTCCTGGTTTAGTTTGTGGCAATGAGTGGAATTACTGAAAAAAAAAAGGAAAAAAAAGAAAAGGGGGGATATAGCCCAAAATGTGAAAACAGGAAAATACCGCAATCCATGTAATCCATTTATTTCAGCAAAGTAACTGTAATCCAATCACCACTCACTGAAACAGTAACTGTAACTGAATACAGTTACTCATAATTTGTACTTTGATTACATAACTCTGGTACATGTAATCTGTTACTCCCCAACACTGAACATTAGCTGGAAACATTCAGTAAGTCCAGTTGTTTTGATTAAATTTTGTTTTCATTCATTCATTTATTTTTGGCCAATGTTTAGCTCATTACATTCTACAGACATTATATTCAGTCTGATGCCCATAAATTAAAGCATACTTTTTTTTTTTTTTTACGACAATCGACACCACTACTTCTACTACTACTTCTACTTCCACTCGAAACCGCTGCTAATGTACCACTACTAATGCTGCATCTACTACTGTGTATGCAAGTGGACTATGATTTTTTTGCCCTCATTTTCTGCAACAGGTCAATGAGAAACCTTTTAGGACAAAATCAATGATAGAATTTGCACATGGGTTTATTTTCTGGTTACAAAGCAGAGCTGATGTGAATATATGTGAAGCTAGTGGTCACGTTTGTTCACAACAGTTCAAAAACAGATCACACCCAGATGAAATACATGTAGAATATTTTCTGTCCATCGTCAAAAAACACTCCAGACACAAGCAGAACATTTCCTTAATATAGACTGAAGAGGCTTGGTTTGGGGTGAAAAGAGCAGAGTTGTTGAATTTGAAGTGGACTGGCAGACCCTGTTCTGTTTTAGGGCCTGAAACTCCAGCTGCTGTCGTGGCCTGAAGAACTGGTGGCTCCTGAACATCTGCAACCGTCACCAGAACCATGATGTTCTCAGCCCCGTCTTTCCCACAGACGGAGAGTGTAGAGACTAACGCACTGGACTGGGCTGGACTGAGTGGAGGGGAAGGAGACTGGACCACCTCCTCTGTGACCTCTGTCTCCCTCACTGCTTCCTGACCCTGGAGTATTGGTGATGATGAGTGAGAAGTCGACCTGGAATCTCTCCTGGTGGTTTACATATTACATGCCTGTCTCAGAAGTCTTGTCTTTCTCGTTTTGTTTAAATTGAAACCAGTCAGTCTATTTGACTCTGACCAGGACGGGGCGGATCGTGGCGTTAATCACAATGGTCTTCCCAGACCCTGCAAGTCATTATACGACATTTTGCTTCTTTCTGACTTTCTTTACCAAATACATATTTTTTACATGTTGTCTTGCTGATGTGATTGCTTTGGTGGTGATGGTGACAGTGGAGCTTTCTAAGCTGGTTCCATCTTCTCCACAGTCGCAGAGAACCCTGACAGCATACTCTGTCTCAGACTCAAGTCCAGATATCACCTTTTTCTCAGAATCAGACGCTTCTCTCGTCCACTCATCCCCGTCTCCTGTCTGAGAAAACTCCACAAAGTATTTCTGGATCTGGGCGCCTGGTCCCACCTCGGCAGGTTTCTTCCAGTGGACTGAGATCTCGGAGGAGGTGGAGGTGGCAGTGACGCCTTGAGGTGGGCTGCATGGTAAAGTTTTCATGCAGGTGTCAGGAGAAGCAGGGCCCACACCCACTTGAGTGACGGCTTTTACTCTGAAGCTGTACTCTGTGTTTGGGCTCAGGGCTGTCACTGTGGCCTCTCCGGCTTCAGCCTGGAGCTGCTGGTTCCACTGCTCCTGTCCTTTCTCACAGAACTCCACTCTGTATCCACAGATGTTCTCCACTCCCACTGAGGGAGCACTGAACTGCACACTCACACTGTTTGCTGTGGCTTTGACCAGAGTCACAGAACCAGGTTTAGAAGGAAGCTCAAAGTTCTCACTGGTGAAGAACCCATCTTCATAAAGATGGATGGTTGCACCTTTGTCATTCACATCAGCCGAGCCCACTGCCAGAAACCGAAGGTACTTTTTGTCCTGATCTTTGTTGGCTTCTGCAAAATCACCAAAAAGCTTTGCTTTAAGTCTCATTTGTTGAATCACATCTTGATTTCTGAACCAGGGTTTGGGTTCTGTTTCACACTCATTGGTTTGAAGTCCTTCTAGATGATTCTCCAGTTCTTTGAGGTACGGCTCTGCACTTTCCAGAGATGTAAACACAAACACCAGGGCTTTCTCTGGGTCACAAACCTTCTCACTGAGGACGTTTTCAGATGAGATGATTTCTGTGTTTTTTATCAGATTTGTGAGAGCTTTAATGGTGTTGGCCTCTTGACTGACCCTGTCCATCCACTGGTTCAAACGCTGAGAGCTGAACGGACTCTCCACTGTTTTCTTCAATACAGCTGCTAGTGCAGCCTCCTCCTCTCCTCCTCCACGGATCGACGGAAGCTTTTGGGCCAGTGTTTCCTGAAGCCCAAGCCTGAACTCAGAGCACAAAGCATTGAAGGTTTTGACTTTTTTGGAAAAGTGTGAGAAGTTCTGACCTGCAGGACTTTTCAAGACATCGTTACACCTCATGTCCAGCTCCCTGAAGTCCTCCAGGATGCTCTCTGCCTTAGTGACTAACCTCAGACTGATCTGACGCACCACTTTAGATGCTCTGGAGTCTAAGCTGCTGAGTGGCAGCAGATGCACCATCACAGGGACTGCATTCTCTCCATTGGAGCCCAGAAGTGTGGGGAGATCTTGATAAACTTTGACGGATTCTTCAAAAGTTGTTGGGCTTTTGTCTAAACAGAAATCTCCATAAAAAGTACAGGAGAACTTCTTCACTTTTTCTTTGTCTTTGTCCTCCATTTTCAGAGAGCCTCCTCCATCAACAGAGATCAGTGGGATTTTCTGAATCATCACCTTCAGGTTGCCCTGAATGTCTTGAACCTGTTCATCTTTAGATGTTTCTTGGTCAAACACAAAGAAGGCCTGGGCGCCGTAGAGGATGGCTGTCACTACGTGAGTCGCCAGACCTTTCTCAATCACTTCGTGATGCTTAATGTTGTCTCTTCCGAGCTGGTTCATGGTCAGTGCTTTGAACACCGTGGTAGTTTTGAACTGCAGAGCGACTCGGGCCTGTTTTTCGAGCTTTTGTTGTCCTTTAGAAATTTTGCTGAGCCTCCAACATTCACAAGTCCACTCAGAAAGCTGGCTTTGAGAGAAGCGTCCACTCCCAGTGAAGAAGCCTTCTCTGAGACTGAGTCTGACGCCACGATCTGAAACTGTGTGTTGGGTTTGGGGGTCACTCTCATGTCACTGTCCAACTTCTCTCTGTCCCAGAACGTCAGGCCTGGAAAACAAAACAAAATATCTGCATCAGTAATAAAAATAATACCGTTGCATGTGCTCAGTCTTATGTCTTATACTATACTAGTCCTATACTAAAACAAGTTAGACAGAGACAGACATTATAGAGCACAGGTAGAAGAACTGAATGTTGGGGTCTGCTATAATGAAAGCCTGAGTGATTGTAAAGAAAATATATAATATATATATATATATATATATATATATATATATATATATATATATATATATATATATATATATATATATATATATATATATATATATATATATATATATATATATATATATATATGTATGATGATGTGAGATGTCCAGTTTACAAGTCTTCTGCAGTCAGCTATCAGCTATTCTTCCTGGAGACCTATGTACCCCTGAAATTCCTCTACATATAACATTTTGGCCAGCTAAGTGGGCTGGTGTTGATGTCTGTCACCATTTTTGGTCTACCAGAAACGAGGGAATGAAAAGTTCCACCTAGTTACAGTGAAGTCCCATTGAAAATGGTCTGTATATCGTCTGTGTGCCTGTTACACTGGTACAAAAACCCACAGAGACACAGACGGATCTGAGACATGAGGTAGTGGTGTAAACCATCTCATTTAATATGAACACATTGTGACCCCTCTGTGACCCTCATGACCCCTCTCTTTCAAACTGACCTGGGATGAGTTTGTCAGATCTGCAGTCGTACAGCATGCCCAGGTGGAAGCTCCGACCCAGAGCCGCCATCTCCAAAGGTTTATTACAATCTGAATCCATCTGAGCACAAGGAAAAGGTGTTTAACACTGACACACGAAGGGCTGTGATGAGCCTTATACTCTGTCATGATAACAAAGTCTGAAGTGCAACATATTGCTGAATAATATATAGATGATAAATGATAAGTGAAACTTAAACTGATTAAAAAGAAAAAATGTCATTAAACAAGCTGCAATAGCTGTATGAAACATTTTAGTATTTATTTATGAGTCATAGGTTACCCATTCAACCCTTAAATCTTATCTAATCTAATTTTATCTAGTCTAATCTAATACAGAAAGAAACACCCAACAGACAAAGAAAAAGAAAAATACCCACGATAAAACATATTGAAAAGTAAATGCAGTAATTTTTGTGACAGGCCTACTTATGTTTACATAAAACAATCAGTGGCCTCGCATTACTGTGCTTAAAACTCATCACAGAGCAGAAAAGAACCAGAATATTTAATGAGGAATACATGTGAAGAGTTTAAAATTAACTAGCTCATTTTAAGGCTTTAAAAACATTTAATGCAACCCAACATAAATAAAAGTGTGTACTCACGGTGTAGCAGGCGAGACCGTCTGATGAGGAGTGGAGCTGGAGCTGTCAACAACATTTATTCCTTTCGAGCGACACACCCTTTGAATCATCGCAAACGACAATAGCATCAAGAGCCGCTCGTCTTCATACCTGACATTTTCTGCAAAACCGGTTTATTGAATCAGCGCAAGATCAGAGCGGGACTCTTTCTAGGAATTTTTGAGCTATACCTGTAATCGAGTAAATGTAAGGTAGAGCTGTTTAAAGTCATACTGTGGAACATTCTAGACAGAGCAACGATATCTCCAAGCACAGACAGACCAATGCACATTTAAGTATCAGACAAATGTGAACGTAAAGTGAAAGTACTGTAAAACTACCCACAAAAGTGCTGGTATATTATAAACAATATACTGCATATCAGGCCCTTTGGCAGAAATTTGGGGGGCTGGGGCAAGAATACTCACATGGGCCCCCTTTAGTAAAAATGAAAAGGAAGAGAGTCCAATTCTGGCCCCCTAAAACCCTGACAAAAGGCCCCTTCTTGCCTCCTCCATCTTTGAACCACTGACCCATAACTCACTTCTCTATGTTCATGCTCCTCCTCCTTATAGGAAACTTCACCGACCCGCCCTTTTGTGAACTTTGACCTAAATATAACCAGTTTTACTCCAGCGCACAATAAAACATGATTTAGCACTCCTCAAATCCATTACGTAGACCGCACAAGTGTCAAGGTCCAAGCAGCTGTGGGCTCGGTCTAATGCCTGGAGATGCATTACAGAACTGTCATGTTGAACTATAGGGCTGCGTAAATCTGTGAAATGTATTTAGGACAGAGAAGGTTATGGTTTGGGGGTAAAACGCCTCATGGGCTTTTATATTTTATGTGTAGAAGCTGTTGTTGTTGCTGTTTGCGTGACAGTATTTCAACATGGAATAGTGTTTATACGGTTTCATAAAACGGAGGAAAGGTGAGAATTTAAAAGACCCATGTTACACTATTTTCTGATTTCTGTTACAAGCACCAAAAACAGACCTGGAGTTGTGTTTTGTTTTCATTCACACATTTTTTTATTTATTTTTACACACAAACCATGCAGCTTAAAGATGCAGTAGTAGTAGTAGTAGTAGTAGTCGTGGCTGCAGTAGTCGAAGGTGGGGCTGCATTAGTAGTAGTTGGCACTACAGTAGTTGGAGATGTAGTAGTAGATGTAGTAGTAGTAGTAGTAGTAGTAGTAGTAGTAGTAGTAGTAGTAGTAGTAGTTGTGGCTGCTGTAGTCATAGGTGGGGCTGCAGTAGTTGAAGATGCAGTAGTAGTAGTTTGGACTACAGTAGTTGGAGATGCAGTAGTAGTAGTAGTTTGGGCTGCAGTAGTTGGAAATGTAGTAGTAGTAGTTGGCACGGCAGTATTTAGAGATGCAGTAGTAGTAGTAGTTTGGGCTGCATTAGTTGGAGATGCAGTAGTAGTAGTTGGCATGGCAGTATTTGGAGATGCAGTAGTAGTAGTTTCGGCTGCAGTAGTTGAAGATGCAGTAGTAGTACTGTAGTAGATGTAGTAGTTGTAGTTGGCAGTAGTAGTAGTTGTAGTAGTAGTAGTAGTTAGTATAGTAGTGTAGTAGTAGTTGGCACTACAGTAGTTGAGATGCAGTAGTAGTAGTAGTTTGGCTGCAGTAGTTGGATGTAGTAGTAGTAGTTGGCAGTATGTAGTAGATGCAGTAGTAAGTAGTAGTTTGGGCTGCAGTAGTTGGAAATGTAGTAGTAGTAGTTGGCACGGCAGTATTTAGAGATGCAGTAGTAGTAGTAGTTTGGGCTGCATTAGTTGGAGATGCAGTAGTAGTAGTTGGCATGGCAGTATTTGGAGATGCAGTAGTAGTAGTTTCGGCTGCAGTAGTTGAAGATGCAGTAGTAGTAGTTTGGACTGCAGTAGTTGGAGATGTAGTAGTTGTAGTTGGCACTACAGTAGTTGAAGATGCAGTAGTAGTAGTTTGGACTGCAGTAGTTGAAGATGTAGTAGTAGTAGTTGGCACTACAGTAGTTGGAGATGTAGTAGTAGTAGGCACTACAGTAGTTGGAGATGTAGTAGTAGTAGTAGTAGTAGTTGTGGCTGCAGTAGTCGTAGGTGGGGCAGTATAAGTAGTAGTAGTTGGCACGGCAGTATTTGGAGATGCAGTAGTAGTAGTTTGGGCTGCAGTAGTTGGAGATGTAGTAGTAGTAGTTTGGGCTGCAGTAGTTGGAGATGCAGTACTAGTAGTAGTTTGGGCTGCAGTAGTTGGAGATGCAGTACTAGTAGAAGTTTGGGCTGCAGTAGTTGGAGATGCAGTACTAGTAGTAGTCGGTACTGCAGTAGTTGGAGATGCAGCAGTAGTAGTAGGAGTTTCGGCTGCAGTTATACTATTTGGAGATGCAGTAGCAGTTTGGGCTGCAGTAGTTGAAGATGTAGTAGTAGTTTTGGGCTGCAGTAGTTGAAGATGTAGTAGTAGTAGTTGGCACTGCAGTATTCGGAGATGCTGTAGTAGTTTGGAGTAGTTGGAGCTGCCTAGAGTTCGTCTCGCAAACAGAAAACACTCTGTTCCACCTTGTGATGTCATGTGGTAATACACAAAGTGCTCCAGTGTGTTTTTAAACAACACACACGTTCACTAGAATCTTTTGGATGATTTCAGCTCTGGAATTGTCTTTCTCTACTAAACGAAACTTAAAAAGGAGCTGTTAACCTGATAATTACCGCTTCATGACATCACAAGGTGGAACAGAGCATCTGGAGCTTTGGAGATGTAAACAGACTAATAATAAAGTGTTACTCAGACATGTGTGAATGAAACAAAACACAGCACAGTACAGTGAATAAATATCTATAAATAAACAGAGAGAGAGAATCGGGCGGGCCGTAGAAGAGAACTGGTTTTGCTGTCTGTCAGTGAACTTGTTCCTATAATTATCTTCTCTTTTTGAGTCGATACTGTATTTTACAACAAACAAAATGCACAATAAAGCCAGTTCTCTGTCTGTAAACGTCTCAAATATGAGTTATGTCAATGTTTTAAATGAAACCGGTCCCTACATTTGCCTGAGAGCAGTTGAGCTTTTGTTTACCCGTTGCTATGGTGATGTCATGACACATGTCACGATACAGAAGAAGCGATTTGGCTGTTGCCGGATTACTTGTGCGTTATTAAGCATTAAACATAGTTGTATAATACCACGGCTACAAACTGAAATGTCTCACACGTGAATCTGAAATGCTTTCAGTAAATGTCTCAAATATGAGTGCATTCTTAAATAGTGTATGACAGATTTTTATGTAAGTATTAAAGTTGAGGATGTGTTTACCCGTTGCTATGGTGATGTCACGGCTATGGCCTCAGAGCAGTGATATGTAAAAACATTAAAGGGATAGTTCGGATTTTTTTACATGAATCTGTATGGCATCCCCATGAGCAGTGTCGTGCATCCACACTGACTTACCCCCGACAGCGTCTGGTGAGCCAAGATACTGACCTTTTTGGTGCTGACGAAAGTAGTCCGGCAAGTTGGCTGGGGACAGTATAATAAAGCGTTTTTCTTCTCAAAACAATATGTCTTCAAAAGAGTGATATATTTGCATCACAAAACCATTGTCCTCAAAAAAGTCAGACCTCATAATCGCTTGGCACTATTTTCTCTCTGTTTGTATCACTGCGCGCTGCCGCCAGGTGACAGCCGCGTATGGATCCATCACTTTGTTCAGTTGTTCGGCAGTGTTTACATGCGCAGACCACCACGACATGAGAGAGCTAACGTGAGAGCTAGAGCGAAAAGTATATAAGCTTGTATAAGATACATATGAATATATCTAAAAAAATGGTGCAAACTCTTGATTATCCAGAATGTAACAACAAAAATCTGGCTGAATCTCCAGGCACGATGAAGAGCAGTGCGTTAAAACTGCAGAACACACAGCTCCAAGTATAATGTCCTGTATTATTATTATTATTGTAATATACTGTGCTCTGTCTGTACCAACTTGTTAAAATCTGATCCTGAAGAAGCTGAGCCGGGCCTGGTGGTACTTGGATGGAAGACCACTGAGAAAATCAGGTGCCATTAAAAATATCACTCAAGTAGTTTTGAAACGTAGTTAGTCAAATACTCATCCCACTTCTGAAAACACTTGGGTCATGATCACAGACTGTATAAAGAAGTGGACTAAGGGAGTGTGGCATCACCCACAGCGTTCAACTCCAGTCAAAGGAAGCTCACTGAGGCTGGCTGTTATAGGAGCAAATTTGGAGTCCAGTTCCATATTAGAATTATGAATTTATTTACTGACAAAATTGTGAAATAAGAACACCAGGATCATGTAGAGCGGGTTAATACAAACATTTGAAGACCAAAATAAGGCTCACAGCAGCAGACGGTTGATGTTTTTTTCAATACAAAGTGAATCGGAGCCAGAGTCAGTGGAGCCAGATGCACCTTCATGCCCATTTCCTGTCAACAGTAAGAGAGCGAACCAGCCGAAGCAGCAAACTACACCTAATCCAAATGATTATTACTTTGTATTACTATTATTAATGACCAGGGGTTCTTTTCGTTCTTTTTTTTTTTTTAAGAAAATAGGGAACAAAAACAAACCAGGTCTAATGAACCAGGACTATACATGATATGGTAAATATGGTTAAACCAGATTATAGCCCAAGGACTAATTTCCATCTGCTGTCCCTAGGCAGGTTGATGTAATCATAAAACAAAAATCACAGTAAAAACAATTACACCCCGACAGACAATACACATAATACAAATAGACAGACACAAAGAGCTGGTCAGTCACAAGATCACAGACAGGTCAAGCAAAGGATGTTGGATTATTTGATCAAAATTGCACGCTGCCTTGTTTAGTTAAGATGCCAGTGTATAGATATTGCACACAGCCCATAGCTAAAATTACTATAAAGTGCTTTTCTACAGGTCTACCTGACTCCAACCAGGAAGTACGAGCACATGCGTCCTGGTCTCAGGTCTCTGCACTGTCTCCTGTGGCTCAGAGTCTTTAAAGCAGCTCTGCTTTTGTACAAGTGTCTTCACACCCGAGCACCAAAGTCCATCTGTGACATGTTAGTGCCACATGAACCATCTCACACTCTGAGGAGCTCAGGGACCGACCTCCTGTTGGTGCCCAGAGACACGACTAAAGTTTCATGATTCATGCAGCTAAAACCTGGAACAGTCTGAACATGTGAGACAGACTCTACTCTGACTCTGTTTAAACCCAGACTCAAAACTGTTCTGTTCAACTGTGTATGACTGAAAGGTTTTCATTTCCGCACTCTTCTCTCTCGTTAAATGTCTCTCTCTTTTAATTTTATGATGATTATTTATGTATAGTTTTTTTTGTGATTTTAATTAATTTCTTATTCTGTAAAACACTTTGAATTACTTTGTGTATGAATAGTGCTGTACAAATAAGTTTGCCTTGCCTCTTCTGTAAGGGTGTGGGATTAAATAAATTCTAGTTCTTCCCACTCCTTTTTGGACACGTAAACTTAAACCTCTGCGGCCTTTGCATATCTATCTATCTATCTATCTATCTATCTATCTATCTATCTATCTGTCTATCTGTCTGTCTGTCTGTCTGTCTGTCTGTCTGTCTGTCTGTCTGTCTGTCTGTCTGTCTGTCTGTCTGTCTGTCTGTCTGTCTGTCTGTCTGTCTGTCTGTCTGTCTGTCTGTCTGTCTGTCTGTCTATCATTTTGAATGTGACAGCTCTTGTGATGTTATGATTTGTGACATGGCTTCTGTTTCATAGTTTGCATGTGTTAAAAAAAAAAAATAAAAAATAATAATAATATAACAATTTCATGGTAAAGTACAGTGTAATCGACCGGGAAATCTGGCCCTTACCCCTCCATCTGGGAGTCTGGCGTCTTTGCATTTTAGAATCTTAAAAAACGCAGTCGTGGTGGTGACATGGCGGCGTCTTACCTGTCGAGGGCGATGCAGCAGAGGTGCAGGATGGAGGCGGTGGTGAGGAGCACGTCCAGAGAGGTCCTGACCAAACAGAAGGTCTCTCCGTAGATCCAGTGCTCGTGGACCAGCTCTATGGCCCCGAACGGCATCACCAGGACGGACACGAGCAGGTCTGCGAACGCCAGCGACACGATGAAGTAGTTGGTCTTGATTTTCCTACGGCGGAAAGAAAGAACACAGTCACGTTATAGGTTTATAGATTTTGGCAAAAACACTCACACTCATTACACCATTTTTGGCCAATTTTAAATAAAAAATGTTACTTTTTGGTTGTAAATACATCACACTAAGAAATGCCATAACTGTTACCAAACACAACCCCTCTAATGTACACAGAAACTATTATCTGACAAATGCAAACAGAAGAAAACACCTTTATTTTGTGAAATCATGTTTAAGTTTCAACATCTTTTCCACCTTTGAAAACTAATTCTTGACTGGTGTAAAACTAGAATTTACAATAGTTAGAATCCCATCAAATTAAGTCAAAATTAGAGAATCATAAAAATCTGTCACACACACTTTAAAACAACTTTGTACCACAGTCAGTAAGAATTCCAATGTCCTACTGTTGTGTTTTCCATGTAAACCTCAATTCAGTTTTAACGCACAGCTCCTCGTTGTTCAATGCTTTTACATATCACTGCTCTGCTGCCATTGCCCTGACATCGCCATAGCAACAGGTAAACATCCTCAACTTTAATACTTACATAAAAATCTGTCATACACAATTTAAGAGTGCACTCACACTAGGACTTTAGAATCGTGCCCAAGCACAGATCGCCCCAAAAGAGCGGAACGTTTGTCCAGCGTGAGGACAATCGAACCGTGTCCAGGATGAGACTTTGGCCCAGTTGGAGGAGGTGAGCTAAAGCGTGACACTGTTGCTCATGTACAAGCACAAGCACAACTTTACTATACGATCCCTGTCAGGTGAGCTGATGTACACAAAACCTGCACTCACCTTCAACAAGGACAGACAGAAGTTTAGCTGCCTCTCATCTCCCACTGTCATCACAGCTTCGTGATGTTTTTATATCCATAAACTCACGGAGGAGCAAGGATCATAAAAGGACGCACATCAGCCTCACTATTTAATAGATATTTCTGCTGCTGGACTTATTTTCTCCACTAAAAGTGTTAGCACATGTAAAGAAACAGTGGTGTGTGATGACACCATCGGGCTGTGGCTCGGTTCAGTTGTGCAGGTTTAAGTGTGGAACATTAAACCCACAGCAGTCATGCTTGAGAACAGCATGATTCTAAAGTCCTCGTGTGAGTACGCCCTAAAACAACTGGAATTCAGCACTGAATCTGGCAACCCAAGCAAGAAATAATGGTTTGAATACATGAATCTTGAATGTGGGAACACAGAAGTTTAAGAAATTTAGAATCCAAACCTTATAGAGCTCCTTCAAAACTAAATTATGGAGTTTGTGGAACAGCTCTGGATTATTATGGATAATGACCATGTTGTGTGTCATTAGCCTGACATTTTGCCCCTTTGTTTTGGTCTAGTCCTGGTTCAGACCTTGATTGGTTCTGGTCACAATCTTCATTTTGTTGATGAGTTTGAAGCAGACGTCCAAATTAAAAATACAACTAAAATCAATGTCTCTTTCAGTGAGTTTAAATACAACTGGAGACACGGCTCACAGGAAACAAACAGGAACTTTTGTGGCACTGACAAAATAATTTTGTGTTTTTCATGAACTTTGTGCTTTTTGTTTTTCACTTTGACGATTTCGAATTTATTTGTGAACAAAAGAGAGGAGACAGGATTGGCCCCACTGACAGTACACACAATCCTGCTCCACTCACAAACACAAAGTTTATAACTATGATTATTATCAAGTAGTAGTAGTCGAAGCAGTAATAATAGTAGTAGCAGCAGTAGTAGTAGCAGTAATAGTTCTAGTAGTAGTAGTAGTAATAGTAGTAGTAGCAGTAGCAGTAATAGTACTAGTAGTAGTGTTAGTAGTAGTAGTAGTAGTAGTAGTAGTAGCAGTAGTTGTGGTAGTAGCAATAGAAGCTGTAATAGAGATAAGAGTAGAGGTAGCAGTAATAATAGCAGTAGCAGTAACAGTGATAGTAGTAGCAGTAATAGTAGTAGTAGTAACAGTAGTAGCAGTATTAGCAGTAGTAGTAGGAGTAATAGTAGTAGTAGTAGCAGTAATAGTAGTAGTAGTAGTAGTAGTAGTAGTAGTAGTAGTAGTAGTAGTAGTAGTAGGTAGGAGGGAGTAGCAGTAGTAGGAGTAGTAGTAATAGTAGTAGTAGTAGTAGTAGTAGCAGCAGCAGCAGCAGCAGTAGTAGTAGTAGTAGCATTAGTAGGAGTAGTAGTAATAGTAGTAGTAGTAGTAGTAGCAGTAAAAGTAGTAGTAGCAGTAATAGTAGAAGTAGTAGGAGGAGTAATAGTAGTAGCAGTAACAGTGATAGTAATAATAGCAGTAGTAGTGACAGTAGTAGCAGTAATAGTAGTAGTAGTAGTAGTATCAGTAGTAATAGTATCAGTAGTAGTAGTATCAATAGTAGTAGTTTCAGCAGTAGTAGTAATAGTAGTAGTAGTAGTAATAGTAGTCAGACCCACTGACCCACAGGTTGGTGGTGTGATTCCACAGATGAATACTGTTGCTGTGTCCTTGGGCAAGACACTTAACCCACCACCCCCAGTGTGTGTGTACACTGATGTGTGAAAGGGTGAGTGGTTCTTTGCTGTAAAGATCGTTGAAGGTGCCTTGAAGGTGGAAAAGCTATGTACCAGTACTTAAGTAATACTCAAGTAGATTGTGTCATGTGATACTTTTACTTGAGTATTTCTTTGCTCCAGTATTATAGTATAATACATTAAACGGCTCTACCAAAAGTTGATTCAATTTTATAGCTCAAAAACACCTAGAAAAACAGCATTCTGACTGTGAGTGGGGTCGCCTCTCCACAGATCTGATCTGTAACTTGGTCTGGTCTGGTCAAGTCTCCATGAAGATAGAAAGGTTTAATGCCATACTGTGAAACATTCCAGACAAAACAAACAAAAACAAGTAACTCCAAGGAGAAAAAAGTTTGACGGACTCTCAGTGTTGGAAAGGTCCCTTTTAAAATGTAATCCCCTACAGATTACAGATTACACATCCCAGAATGTAGTTTGTAACGTAATCAATTAAATTACTTAAAGTGAGTAATGTAATCTGAATACTTTGGATTACTTGATTTGCTGTAGAGAAGCAAAGACGAGGAAATCTTCACATAAGAAGTTTTGTCTGCTACAAGAAAATAAAAAGCCCAGACTTTACTGAACCAAATTAAAAATATTATTGATAGAAGAAGAGGAGACACAGTCCGCACAGCAGGATTTAGTCCTGTTAAATCCTGTTTTAGACCTGGTTTAGTCCTGGTTTAGTCCAGGTTTAGACCTCATTTAGACCTGTGTTAATCCTGGTTTAGATCTGCTTTAGACCTTGTTTAGACCTTGTTTAGACCTGGTTTAGACCTGGTTTAGTCCTGGTTTAGACCTGGTTTAATCCTGGTTTAGCCCAAAATGTAAAAACAGGAAAATACCACCATGTAATCCATTTATTTCAACAAAGTAACTGTAATCCAATTACCACTCACTGAAACAGTAACTGTAACTGAATACAGTTACTCATAATTTGTACTCTGATTACATAACTCTGGTACATGTAATCTGTTACTGCCCAACACTGCGGACTCTCCACCGGTACAGTTACACCATGCACCTCTAAGATTTTCGGGATTTGTTTTTTGATTTTGTTTTACTTTTACATTCGTTTTTTTTGCTCCAATATCTGTACTTTAACTTAAGTAACACAACTGAGTACTTCTTCCACCACTGATAATTAGAATGCTCGGAATGCATAAGGTAAAAGAGGAGTAACTCTGGCCAAAATCAAAATGAATGACTTCTGTTTTTCACATTTTAAGAATCAGGTCGAGCGTCTTTACACTACACCACTTAGCTTTAGATTTGTCTGGAGCTTTTTCTTGTATCTTGTTGCTATAAAAACACATGGCTGTAGAGCTGGACCAGCACGGCCTCAGAATGATTAAAGCTGTCACGGAGGAGGTTGTTTTGGGAGGAGAGCCAGACTGAGCAGAAGGTGGAGAACAGTGAGAGGCAGCTCCAGACTCCATTCTCCCTCACATATTAAACCATTTTTCACCACGCCGACAGACAACACGGCAAAGACAGGGGGCATTCGTCATCTGCAGCTGAGACCGAAAATCATGAAACGTCAACAAAAACACCGAGGTTTACGAGGGACAACTTTATGAACCGCCGCGAGTCGCTTTCTCAGATTTACCCCGCGAAATATCACAGCGCAAACACGTGTCACCGAGGCTTCGCTATAGACGGTGACGGATACTGACCCCGGCAGACGGGAATGTCCAACAGAACAGCGTCAGAAATCAATCAGGATGAAACCAGGACTGGACCAGGACTGAACCAGGACTGGACCAGGGACTAAACCAGGACTGGACCAGGGCTGAACCAGGACTGGACCAGGGACTAAACCAGGACTGGACCAGGGACTAAACCAGGCTGAACCAGGACTAAACCAGGACTGAACCAGGGACTAAACCAGGACTGGACCAGGGACTAAACCAGGACTGAACCAGGGACTAAACCAGGACTGAACCAGGGACTAAACCAGGACTGAACCAGGGACTAAACCAGGACTGAACCAGGGACTAAACCAGGACTGACCAGGGCTGAAACCAGGGTTGATCCAGGGACTAAACTAGGGACTAAAAAAGGGCTGAACGAGGGAATAAACCAGGGACTAAACCAGGACTAAACCAGGACTGAACCAGGGACTAAACCAGGACTGAACCAGGGACTAAACCAGGACTGAACCAGGACTAAACCAGGACTGAACCAGGGACTAAACCAGGACTGAACCAGGGACTAAACTAGGGCTGAACCAGGACTAAACCAGGGACTAAACCAGGGACTAAACCAGGACTGAACCAGGGACTAAACCAGGCTGAACCAGGGACTAAACCAGGGACTGAACCAGGGACTAAACCAGGACTGAACCAGGGACTAAACCAGGACTGAACCAGGGACTAAACCAGGACTGAACCAGGGACTAAACCAGGACTGAACCAGGGACTAAACCAGGACTAAACCAGGACTG